AATTATGAATCTGAACTGGCACCTCAGCAGCGGCATGTCCAGATCTTTTAAAATGGGGTGGCCCAGGTGAGACAGAACTTTGTGCATGGGTGGCACCAATGGTTATGCTTTTTTCTTTTACCCCCAAGTCTTTTGTGGACAATGAAAAGCCTGTTTAAAGGTAAATTAGTGTGGTGGCACCTGGGGTGGCCAATTAGATTCCAAGGGTGGCATGTGCTACTCCAAGCCACTCCCTGGACACGTCCCTGTACCTCAGTGTCCTACGATTCATGCCAAAGAACATTTGACTATTCAAGTTGCATGTTTTCTTTCTTTCACCATGCTCCTCTGAAGCTTCACCATCATTCTCCCACTAATTGGCATTTTAAGGATGTTTGCACATAAAAGAAGAGGCAGATGTTCTCAGCTGCTTCTGTTCATATTCATGTTTAAACAGCTTTCTGCTGGGGCTGCTCAAATTATCACCATGACAACAGGACAGGAAGCAGGAAATAGAAGTTCCATCAGAATGGAGTGGAGAGATAACTCTCTTCTTTCAGGTTGCATGTTGAAGTACGTGTGTGTGTGTGTGTGTGTGTGTGTGTGTGTGTGTGTGTGTGTGTGAGCAGCAGGTTCTGTTTCTTTTTGAAGCTGACCTCTGAGTGGGGTCAAGCCCGTTGGGGGGCTGATGGATATTCTTAGTGAAGGATGATAGCTTCTGTTGGAAATTCCTCTTGGAGATTGGTATGCCCAAAACTCTTCTGCCAAGCTCTTTATTTACTGGTTGATCTGCGTTGCTACCCTCACCTATGGTCACAAGCTTTGGGTAGTGACCAAAACAACAAGATTGCAGATACAACCACTGAAATGAGTTTTCTCTGCAGGGTGGCTGGGCTCACCCTTAGAGATAGGGTGAGAAGCTCAGTCATCCACATCCAAAGGAGCCAGTTGAGGTGGCCTGGGTGTCTGGTTAGGATGCCTCCTGGACGTCTCCCTGGTGAGGTTTTCCAAGCACGTCCAACCGGGTGGAGACCTAAAGGAATACCCAAGACACGCTGGAGGGCCTATGTTTCACGGCGGGCCAGGGAGCGCCTTAGGATTCCCCCGGAGGAGCTGGGGAGAGGGAAGTCTGGGCCTCCCTGCTTAGGCTGCTGCCCCCGTGACCCAGTCCTGGAAAAGCGGCTGAAAATGGTTCTGGTTTGTCTTAAAAATTTGGATTTTCGAAAATGTGGAGCTAGTTTCATTCAGCCATTCATTTTGATTATTCAAAATAAATAATTTTAATTGAAACCAAACTAAATATATTATGTGACTTGGAGTAGAGCCGCTGCTCCAACACATAGTGAGGAGCCATGTGAGGTGGTTCATGCCAGCCCTGAGTGCATTCCATGCTGGCGGGATGACTTCTCCAGGCTGCTCAGGAAAAGTCTTGGTGTTCCACTGGAAGAGCTAGTGAAAGGGGCTGTGATGAGGATCAGTGTCTCCTTGCTAGGACAACTTCTCCTCAAACCTGGAACCACATAAGCAGAGGACAAGTACACATTTTAAAATGCTTTTTAATTTCAACTCAAGTGTGATTATTTAAAAAAAAACAGAAGAAATGCAGGAAGAACTGGAAGTGATCAGTGACATCGCAGCGCATCATAGCGTGTTTGAACTTGTCCTGAGTTGGTACGTTTGCTGTCTCTGCTCACCATAAATGAGTGAGTGCTTCTGTAATATGTATCTATCATAAAAAGATTTATCAAATGAGTTTGACTTTTAACTTGAGCAATGGGTGTTTTTCAAACTTTTGTTTTGGGTTTTAGAAATAATAAATGAAAAATTTAGTCTCTGAGTTCTCAAAACTTCTTAAGAGGACATAAATCTGACTTCGGTCATATCTGATGGTATATTTTTGGTACATCTTTGCAAAAGGGTGGGCCAAAAAGCAGGAAAGACTCCAGAGCCTAAAAACAAAACAATGTTGAGGCAAAGTGTCCAAATAAATCTAACAAAAGATGTGTCAAAGAATGATGAAATCAACTTACCAACCTCATGCAGAGACATGTTGCAAGGATATCTGACAGAGAAGGGATATCTGAGATTATTTATGCACAGAATGAGGTCATGGGAAAGAACGTGAAGGTGTGGTAAACATTACACTAAATTATTTTGTGAGGGGGACAAAAAGCAAGATAGAAAATGTGATAGAAAACAAAGTCAGTAACCATGCGCAAAGCAGTGACGTTTAACCAAGATGGCAGACAGGGGGGATTTGTTAATATTCCATAGAGTTTTAGAGGGAATCTCAGTCTACTCAAGCTCATTTTAAAGTCACAAATGAACTTTTTCATGAATCATTCTCCCGAGGTTTCGTCCGTCTGGGCTCTGAACACCCCAGTGCACCACAGGAGTCTGGTTAGACTTGGATGACTAAGCATGATGCACATAAAAAGGGTGTTCCCTTTACGTCAGCTTTTCCCCACAGCCAAAAGACTAAAGTAGAGCACTCTTATGTCTATGATGAGTCATTTAGAGTCGACTCAGAACTGGAAATTAAAATATTGGACCGTGTAGGGAAACTTACAAACAGTTTAAACAGATCTGATTTTCACAAAGTAACACTGGCTTTTGATGTGATGCACTCAGCACACGGTCTTTAATTTCACTTGACCAATATTTTCTTTCTTGTGACTGTCTGGGAAAGAATCTTCCAGTGTGTGTGTGTGTGTGTGTGTGTGAGAGAGAGAGAGAGAGAGAGAGAGAGAGAGAGAGAGAGAGAGAGAGAGAGAGAGAGAGAGAGAGAGAGAGAGAGAGAGAGAGAGAGAGAGAGAGAGAGAGAGAGAGAGAGAGAGAGAGAGGGGGGGGTTGTGTTTCATCTGTTGGTGATTCGTTTGTGAGGGTTAGGGTGCAGCCTTGGATGTAGTTTTGACTTTAGAAGTGTGTGTGTATTTAGCGTAGTAAACTGCAGGGGTCAAAACTTGACTTTAGAAAAAGTGGGGGGACATGCCCCCCCCCCCCCAAAAAAAAATAAATTACCCATCCATGGATGCAGCTTTCAGTTAACTTTACCTCTTGTTTCATTTGAGGTGCCTTCCTAGAAGTGCCACGTTAATTCACTTTCATCATTTTCCTAATTCTTTTCATTTACTGCAGTTTTGTCTTTGCAATTGAAGTTCTTGACCATCTTGGGTTTTCCCTTTACGTTCTTTTCCTCATAAAACACACATTCTTGTTGCATCAAAAATCGTCTGTGTGGTCTGCCAGTGTTGGGCTTGTAGGAAGTACAGAAAACAGGAAGCGTTGTCATCTTAGGTACTGGAGGCTGTTTATCATGTTTATCTAAATTTACTTCTTGGTATGACTGGAAGATATTTTTGTTCCGCTCTTAAATGTTTATGTGTTAAACTGTTTTGTCCTCAGCAGAGTCACAGGGAGCTGGTGGCTATGTCCACCACTCAGCAAGCATGAGGTGGTGGTGGGGGGGAGACAGGTCGCCAGTCTGTCACGAGACACATACGAGACAAACAGTTAGTCACACACTCACTCAGACCTAGTGACAATTTAGATTCACCAAATTAACCCAAGATGCAAGACCAGCTTAGTGGATTGGGAGGTTCGGGTTCGGTTCCCATTCGGGTCATACCAAAGACTTTTAAAATGGGACCTAAAGCCTCCCTGCTTGACACTCAGCTTTAAGGGGTTGGATTGGGGGGGTTGAACCACCAAATAGTTCCCGAGTGCAGCTTCAGCTGCAGCTCACCGCTCTCCTCCATAGGGATGGGCCAAATGCGGGGATGAATTTCGATGACTATGGGACTTTAACTTTAACTTTATTCCTTGGTTTTAAAAGGCAGAAGAATAAATGTGACAAATACACTGCCATTATTCCTAATTCTGACCCCCACATGCTCTGCGAAACAACATCAGCAATATTGTTATATATGGTTCTACCATCAAGCGATGGTACTCCTGGAAAAACGAAATTCTACTTCCATAGGGAGCCTGTCTCCTCCCTTTCCGGTCGGTCATGGGTCACCGGAAAACCGAAAAAAATGCATGCAAGTCAACGGGGCTGAAAGAGCAATTTTCTAATCTGCTTTGCCTTACACCCAGGATCGCACATATACTGTTATTGAATTTAAATGAAAACTAATGATGGGTGTTTTGACCAAGCCAGTCATGTATTTTGAGACTTATTAGCTTGTAAAAGTTTGTAATTAGCAAGACTACAAATCGGACGTTGGTACGTCCCACATATGACGTCACCACATAATCTCCTCTCCCCTAGCATAGCTACCACTTACCAAATGGCCAGATTTATGGTGTTTTTTTCCTCCTGAAAGAAGGATTTTAAGTTTGCTGACCTCACAGCCATTTTTCCTCTGCTTTTCTCTGTGTCTGGTTTGATGACATCACTTTGGTGAAGCGCATTTGTAGTCCTGGACTTATTTTCACACAAAACCTAAAATAGTGTTCCCTCCCATTCAAAAATAGGCACTTTCTTGGTATCAAAATGTGTCTTTAAAATTCACGGACATCATATGTGAAATCCATGGCACAAAACAAGCGGAATTAGAAAATAGCGTTTTCAGCCCCATTGACTTGCATTTATTTTTTTCGTTCTTCCGAGGATCCATGATGCGGGAGTAGATGGGCGTGACTTGGGCTCCCTATCAATTTCCCACTAAAACATCCAGGCATCCCTAGCAGCTCTTTTCTGCTTTTATAGCAACACTGTTTGTCTATGTTTTTTTTTCATGTTACTGGTCAAAAAGAAGATAAAGTTTGATTAGCTGGTGTCATGTCTGTATATGGTTTGAACCACTGTAACATTTCATACATCATTAATACTAAACAGCACAACCCTGCCACCTGCTTATCTAAATTGGTGTCTGCAGTTTCCTCAAGACTCACGACAGAACAGAAGTGTTAGAAAATGGTCATGAAGGTTAAAGTTCTAACGATTGTTGAGACCTGTGGGAGTGTTCACTCAGGGAGCAAGCTGTAATGTCATAAAGATCTCTTAACTCCTGCAGGCCTGCCCTGCTCTGGGGTCTGACTGCTAAGCATGCTGGAAAAGGCGCCCCCAACAACCAGCAGCCTCAACCTGGTGACCTCTGAGGTTTCTGACACCACAGCAGCTTCAGACACTGTAGATGGTACAAAGATGGTCGACGTTGTGGAAAGTCTTGATGCCAGAGAGTTGGACATGGGAGAAGGAGAGGAGCCCGACTATGATGGGAACTACTTGGGTGAGTCTTAATGGTCTATTCCAGGGGTGTCAAACTCAAATTCACACTGGGGCCGAAATGAAAATCTGGGATGAAGTCGCGGGCAGAACTTAATATTTTTTGAAAAAGTGACGGCAAATTTGCACATTTTCTTCATCAACATACATGCAATTTTGAACCTTTTAATTTGGAAACAAACATTTTTGCATTTACACTGAATATGGAAAACCCAAATTACACACGAGCAAGTCAATTTTAAATAAAACACATCCGTGGTATTCATTACTTGTGGTATATTCAGCCTTTTTAAAATCTATTCAGGATTTATGTTTTCTTGTTGTTTATTCATTTTTCTTTTTTTTAATTCTCCTTTTTTTCTCCTGTAATAAGTCTCATCGCTCCTGTGACATCTAGCTTTCCCCACTGAGGAACAATAAAGGGATTTTCTATTCTATTCATCTATCTGCAGCCTTTCCACTTCCTGTTTACTGTAGGTTAAATCTTTTCTCACGGGCTGTTCTAAAATAAAATGTTTTATTTTATTTTAATTACCTTAAAAGACTCAAAGTCTCTTTTTACACTTTATATTTATTTAATCAGGATCGTTGTCAAGTCGACGCCAGAAACAATGAAACACAACTTGAATATCAGATGAACAACAAGGCTTTATTCAACCGGCATTCATACAAGTTATCAATCATGAACAAAACATTTCTCTTACCGTTGCTTATGGGTGGAGAGCTGAACACCCCAGTTAGAAAACGTAATCCATGAACCTCGTCAGATAGAATCCTTCAAACAGCTCTAACAGCTCTGAGCTCTGCTCTGCTCCTTATACATTCCCTGATGTGCGTGCAAAGCTGCACACCTCCACCAGGATTACCTTGATTACATCCTCATGATCACATTATGTTCGGCTCTCCTTGATTACATCCTCATGATAAGTGTGATTGACAAACAGTAGTGATCAATAACTTGTATAAAGCAATTATACAACAGATGACAAGTTCATTTTTATTACATTCCACTCTTGAACTTTTCATCTAATTTATGTAACATATCCATCACCATTTCCCCATCAAAACCAACGTCATTTATAACATACCTTGTAGTTCCACTTTAATTTTCATCGTAGTCTTTGCATTATTACCCAATTTATTTCTCTTCTTAATCGAATAACATACCAACAAATAATAAGATTACACAATGTTAGAATGCTGATTATAATTAATGCTGCAATCATAGGTGGAATTAGCACTTTATTAGCGGTACTCGACATGCCTGTAAATATATCCCACCAATGATGAGCGGAAGCCTGTTCAATCAATGTAGCAACATGTTTTATTTCCCCTTGTGTCACAAGAGTAGACACCATGAGCCTGGAAAGGTTGGACCTATGAGAGTCAATCAATTTTGCCACTTCAGTGGAACCATCCAATGCGCATTTGAATCGTTCCAGTGAGAGTGTCCAAGGGGAGTGTAAAACCTCCCATTGTATCTTAGTCAGCCGACTAGATACAGTGTAATTACTCAACCAATAGGTCACGTTATTCCATTCCCACATATGTATACCCTTGAGACAACCTGAAAAGGGAACTGAAGGTACCTGTGGGGAATTGGTCATTGTAGCCACGCATAAGGTGTTAGGACCCACCTGCCAAAACTGTTCCTCTGGGGGTGTGACCGTCCAATCACAGAGTACGACCCTTGAATCAGTGAAACATGGATTGCTATGTCCTTTTACCAATGGGCAGGCTAAACCCTTATCAGTCTCATCACAGTGTTTTACTTCATATGTTCGATTTGTTTTAACATCCCACCACTCTCCACTAACATGGAGATACCAAAACCCTTTAGTGGTTATCACCGGCAGTATCTGATATCTACACACAGTCATTACTGATGTCATATTATACTGATCCCAGTATCCAGTACACATAGATTTATTACAAATCGTCATTTCTGCATGTAGCTGTAGCCATAATGAACTACTGATGTTCCATAATGTTCGCCATGCATGATAGTTATTACTCATTACCTGTATTTGAAACCTATTTCTCTGTGTCTCAGCATGAATAGTCTGCAAGGAACAGACTGTCCAATTACCTATGTGTGACAAATTATGCAATGCATCATAAGTTTCATTCCAAAGCTTTAGATTCCATTTAAATACACTTTTCCACACATCACTTTCTTCTAACTGACTAGATACAGTCGAAGGCATCCATCTTGCAGTCTTGGTGACAGCTTGTGCGGTGTATTCTCCAGTGTTGGACAGCATAGTTCGTGTCACCTCATTGTCTGCTGTGTTAGCCAGACCATACAAAGTTCCAGTTCCTCCTAGCACGGTGTCATACCATGCTCGCCTCCTCCTGTTACAAGGCGGAATAGGAGGGAATTTCACAGTCCATCGCACATATTCGGCTACCCTTATTTGTCCCATTTGTTGACAAGTGTGAACCAGGGGAGCTACAGCTGTCTGCGTAGCTCTAGCTGTGTCGGGCAGCACCCAGAATATGTACAAATAGGCGTATCCTCCTGTGATTACAGTTCCATTCCTGATCCGGAAATCGCGATCAACCTTCATACTCCAATTTGTGCCATTTTGTATGCAAGTACCATTCCCCTGATGGTATGCACAGATGCGCGCTGCAGAATTAAAGGTTACTGTTGATCCTTGAACCAACACCCCCGGGCTGATCACCCTTCCTCGGATTTTAAGACATCCTCTGCACCGGTACATCTTACCGGTAGATGTTAGGTTTCCCAAGTAGCAAGCGTCATTTGCTCTGCATGTGAATGTGCCTTGAGTGCGGTTGGACATACTGCTAACCAATTCCAGATGGCCCATGACCCCTTCTTCCAACACTTGTCCTTCCGTGAGCCCCCAACAGAAATGTGCCCTCAGTGCGATGACAGCGAGGACATGGAGGACGATGACCAAACATCCGACACCACCAGGTCCGCGGAGCCCATCCATCGCCTCGACAAGGGTTCAATCCTTTTGTAGGGGAAGGGGACCCAGTCAACCACCGTCACTCAGACACCCGCCTATGGGATACATACAAAACTGCAGATAGAATGACAAGCATTAATTTTCTCTCCTGTAACATTTGTTTATCGGAATATTAATCCATTTTTCCTCTCCGGGGAACAATACACTTACCACAGCATCTTTTCCCTGTGCAATAATCTCTCCAGCTCTGGGAGGACCATTGAGCTGCTCCACCCACACTTTTGCCCCCGCAGTAAAGTCTGATGATCCAAACCCAGTTTCACCCCTCTGAGTGATAGTGGTAGGTTTAGTAATCTCTTCAACTTTGGACATTACACACCGTTTGATTACTAACTGAGCTATCTTGTCTCCTTTTTCCAGTACCAACGGTTCTTTACCTGTATGCTGACACACCACACCTATTTCCCCTTGATAGTCTGAGTCTATTACCCCAGCTAAAATGGTTAGACCCCTCAAAGCTAAACCACTTCTTGGACACACATGAGCATAAGTTCCTGGTGGACATTGAATTCCCAATCCTGTTTTTACCACTGTCACTTTATTGGTTACTAAAGTGATGCTTTCCAAGATTTTAAGATCTAATCCCACAGAGCCCGCAGTTGCTCTAACAGGGAGTTCTGCCTCAGAAGTTAGTTTCCACATTCGTATAGGAGGGTCAGTAGAAGTTGTTTCCCTTCCTGCCCTGGCAACCATTAGCATCAGTGGAGTAACTCCATCCCCCACGGGTCTGTTATTTAACTGATGTACTGCCCTAGTCAGATTTTCTCTCCATTTGTCCAAAGAATTAGTAACCGATAGTTTCCTTAGTTTCTCTTTCAGTAACCCATTCATTCTCTCAATGAGTCCACTAGCTTTCGGGTGATATGCTACATGATAGATCCATTCTACCGCGTTGTTCTCTGCCCATTCTTTGATCTTATTTCCAGTGAAATGGGTACCATTATCAGTCTGAACCTGCAAAGGTAGTCCATAATAGGTCTCTATTAATGACAGACATTTCAATGTAGCCTCCTGATTGGCGTTATGACACGGATGCACCACCAGTACCCCTGACACCGTATCCACGGCTGTGCATGCATACTTACAGTTTTTACTTTTTGGCAATGGTCCAATGAAATCAATCTGCCAACACTGTCCCGCTTGTTTACCTCGATGTATCTGTCCCTGTATATGTCGAGGGATTCTCTTTTTCTGATGTTGACAAGGTTCACAATCTTCTATGGCAGTTTTAATATCATCAATGATGAGATCTATTCCTCTGTCCCTCGCCCATTTCAATGTTCCCTGCACACCCCAATGTCCAGCAGTAACGTGAGCCCATTTGGCTAATCCAGGACTTGATTGTCTTACAGCCTGAATTTTCACTATCTTATCTACAGTCTGATTATGCAGGGATTCAGGATCATTGTTATTAGTATGAGCATCCACATGTAATACTGACACAGGAATATTTTGGCATTTCTCCCAAATGTCCTTCCATAGGTCAGCTCCCCAAACCTCTTTTGAATGTATCTTCCATTGTGTAGCATGCCAAGTTGGCATCCAAGTTAACATTCCTTGGGCTACTGACCAGGAGTCAGTATAAATACTTACTCCCTGCACCCCAGCTGCCATTATTACCATGTGTACTGCTTTCAACTCCGCCCATTGACTACTCTTTCCTGTCCCTGTGAGTTCCATAACTTGTTGTGTACCAGGGTTAAATGCCCCAGCCTTCCATTTCCTGGTTCCTGCCACATATTGACAGGAACCATCAGTGAACCAGGCTCGCTCCTGCTGCTCTGGGGTGAGTTCGCTCCATCTTACCCCCAGTTTCACAGGAGAATCCTGGATTGGTTTTACCTCAAAAGGCACTTCATCCATTTCTGGAATGTCTGCCACTTGCTCGTGGAGCATTGATACTCCTTTTTCTACAATGTTTCCCTTTATTTTATCAGGATTGCCATGAATTACCGAGGCCTCCGCCCCAGTGTCAACCAATGCCATTACTGTCTGTACTGATTTTTTCCAATAAATCTGTAATTCCACATGTGGTCTGATATCATTTATTGACCATCCTGAGGCACTGGCAACAACCTGAGCTTGACCTTCATCCTATTCATCATCATGTTCCCTTCGGTGCTGTTTTTTCTTTCTACGCTTCACTGCCGCCACCTGATAACACTCATCTGAACTCTCCTCCTCTGAAGATTCCTTGGGAGGGGCGGAAGGTTCAGCAGGCTTCGACGCCACCTCCCTGATCACATTCTGCAACATTCCAACCAATTCTGACACAGACATCCTGTCGTCCTTTTCAGGACAATGTCTGAACTGACAATGGACCTTCAGTCCCATTTGTCTGCATTTCTCCATCAATGCATTAGTGGGCAATCCATCAATCTCCTCAAACGGCACTCCCGCTTGTCGCAGTGCCCTCCACAGATCTGTTCTAGAGGGGCCCATTGCCCCCCCTTTACGACCCCTTGAATGTGGATCAATCCTGGGTTTATTTTCAGTTCTAGCTCCCTCTCTCCTCGTCTCAGACCAATCACCCAGCGTGGTGAGTTCGCCAAGACGATCTTTTATCGCGGCAAAAGTCTGGTCTGCCGCGCCAAACAACAAGCTGGTCACCATGGGTTTATAATGTGGTGGGGCATGTCTGATGAGGTGATCTCTAGTTGCCTTAGAGATGTTACCGTCCACCACTCCAGCTCCCCCGTTTCGAGCCACTTGCTCTCTAATAGTGAGTCTGGTGAGCCGCTGAATGGCATCTCTCACTGTCTGCCATTGCCCTTTAATCTCAGACCAGTCCGCCGTGGTAGGATAGATTACATGACATGCCAGAGCATATGCATCCCCCACATTGAAATCTTCATCAGCTGGCAATGCCCGGACTGTAGCCCGGTATTCAGCATTTATCTGTGCATCAGTACTTAATCCTGAAAATCTCATGGCATCACCGGCATCTATGGCTATATCACACGCGCCATCCTCCATAAGGCGATTAAGCCAGGAGTCAGTTGGTTCGCCTGGGCGCTGTTTCAGCTTCCCATTCATGTGATTTAACTCATCTTGTGAATAATCCTCTAGCGTTGTTAGCAGCCTAGGGGCGGGTTGTGGCTGCTGTTGTAACATCCTTCTTATATTACCCGCCTCATCGAGTTCCGGCCGTCCCTGATCATCCACCATATCTACCAGTATTGGTGGAATAATTTGCTGTTCTCGCCGACGCCTAGTAATAGGTCTTTGTTCTGACATCTTTATCCCCTGTAATGATGGATACAAGGGCTGAGGTGGTGGGTCAGGTTTAATCGCCCACTCCTCCTCCTCATCATCCCCCCAAAGATCCCCGTTCCATTTCTCTGGGTTCCAATCTTCACCAACATTCTTTACAAACGCCCGGATCTGAGCAGGACCTGCTCTACGAGGTCGCTTCTTTTCCTTCCTTTGCGCTCGAGACACAAAAGTCAGCGTTTTATCCAAAACATTCTGAGCATGCTTTAGCTCTTTCCCCATCACACACACTCTCTGCTCAAACTCTGAGCATGATTTTTCAACTTCTTCAGCATGGATTTTCTCCTGCGCCGCTCGCTCTCTACAACTGCTCAATTCTAACTCCTGTTTTTTCCATGCTTCTGCAAAAAGCCACATCATATCTCTCACTCCTGCCAGCGGCGCTTTTTTTTTAACTTCTATCCGCGTCAAACGGTCCAGCACCACGGCGGGGCTGACCACTCCATTTAACTCTCCCCACGGCCCAGGGCGTCCACCGCGCTGCCTTAACATATCACCAATGGATCGGAACTCCTCCGTTTCCCAGCCGGGAATCGGCACGGGAATCGGCGTTCCCTCCCCAGAAGCACTCGGCTCCTTTTTGCTTCTCCAAAAACACTTCATTGTTGCTGGAATAGCTTGACTGATCCTGTTCGTGACGCCAAAAATGTTCTAAAATAAAATGTTTTATTTTATTTTAATTACCTTAAAAGACTCAAAGTCTCTTTTTACACTTTATATTTATTTAATCAGGATCGTTGTCAAGTCGACGCCAGAAACAATGAAACACAACTTGAATATCAGATGAACAACAAGGCTTTATTCAACCGGCATTCATACAAGTTATCAATCATGAACAAAACATTTCTCTTACCGTTGCTTATGGGTGGAGAGCTGAACACCCCAGTTAGAAAACGTAATCCATGAACCTCGTCAGATAGAATCCTTCAAACAGCTCTAACAGCTCTGAGCTCTGCTCTGCTCCTTCTACATTCCCTGATGTGCGTGCAAAGCTGCACACCTCCACCAGGATTACCTTGATTACATCCTCATGATCACATTATGTTCGGCTCTCCTTGATTACATCCTCATGATAAGTGTGATTGACAAACAGTAGTGATCAATAACTTGTATAAAGCAATTATACAACAGATGACAAGTTCATTTTTATTACACGGGCCAACAACAAAATAAAAATATCATTTTATCTTAAAAGAAAATGCAATATCTCACCTGTTAACTTTCATGTTTTGGAGCAGAAAAAGAGCAGAAAACCAAAACATTTAAAGCTCAGTTTGCTCCACTGGTTTACTGTGATGCTCACCTGTTCCAGCCAGATACCTGCAGCATGGGGTTGATCTGAGCTGAGGAGGAGACTCCTGTTGTTTTGTTCATCTTCATCATAATAATGACAACATTAGATGACAACAGGTGCTCACATAGGTTTGTGCTGCTGAACATGTCTGTGCCGCTTGACCACGTTGTTGTGTGTCGGGGAGGAAAAATAAAAACTACAGCAGCCACAGAGTCATGCTGATTTGAGCGTGTCGCTGCTCGCTGGAGTTATATCAGCTCTGTCTGGAAGTTAGGTGGAAAACTTTCTCTTTCAGTCCTGAACACAATACTTAGCAGTTAAAATCTCTGTTTCTGGGCTTCATTATCTACAAATAGCTGAGTAAACTCGGCGCTGAGTGAGAGGAGTGTTTAGTTTGTCCGAGACAGAGGAGCTGCAGACACCGGCAGCAGACGCTGGAAAAAAACACAAAGGAGGGGGCGCTTTGGCTCCGCGCTAATGCCGCAAAGCATCATGGGAGATGTAGTCTTTGCGGTAAAATTGGCCAGCGGGTCAGTTTTAATATATTTTTGATATTTATCTCGCGGGCCACATAAAAATGCTCCGCAGGCCGCATCTGGTCTGCGGGCCTTGTGTCTGACACATGTGGTCAATTAAGTTAAAAACTAACAATTGTTTAAGGTGCTACAAAAAATAAAAGCACCAGTCATGACCCCATTCTGATTTTCTTTTACATAATCATATATTCAACTACAGGAGTGGGCATCGTGAACAATTAAAGCAACTCTCAAAGAGTTTCCCTGCTTCTCCCTCCTACTGGATGAAACCTGAATTGCAACTGTCGTAAACACCCCTGCCACAGCCATCTGTGGCTAGTGCTACCCACGAGCTAACGTTAACTTGAGCCAAATGATACTAAACAAGCCACAAAGTAAAAAGATCCACACTGTTGGACAAAGAATATTATTTACAAGTACAGTAGCAACAAAGCCAGGTCACAATCTGTTTTTTTATTTATTTTGTATTCTCCTTTTGCTCCCTCAGTCAAGTGTTGGCCCCGCCAAAGTTCACTCTTTGCTTTGCCCCCAGACATGATGCTTTTACTTTTTACTTCCAGGTAAACAAACAACAAAAGGAGCAGAATTGTTGTTGTTCTTCCTGTGCCTTTATTGATGGTTGGTGAACTGAAAAGCAAACGGCTAGCCTTTATATAACCTACTGGAACAGTAAAAACTATTGCTGTAAAGCAGGCAGAGTGCTCCTACCTGAACCACAAAACTGCTGTGGGATTTCTGCTCAGTAGAGGGCTGCAGAGTGCTGTACTGTCTGTAGTTGGTCCATTTTACACCCCCAAGAATCACAGAAACCAGTTTGAAAGCAACAACTTAAAAGTATTAAAAGCTCTTTAGTGTTGCTTTAAAGATCAAATTGACAAATCCCAAACAAAGCAGAGTTTTTGTGTGATGCAGCCTACTCGCTAATGAAGATACCTCAATAACTCCTGCAAATGCAAACAGGAAATACACAAAAATCTAACCACCAGCCATCTTTCTATTCTAGGAGATTGTCGTATACCATTTTCAGCTGTGTACGCAACAGTCGGCTTCAAGGAAGCTGACGCGAAGGTCTATCTTCCCACTGTTCCCATCACTGCCCGCATTCTGGAGGTGGAGCGCTTCACTACTGCACAGGAGCGCTCCAACTTGTCACAGCACAGGAGTGTGAACAAGGTATTCTATGGCGCATTTTCATTTGTGATGTAAAAAGTTTAAGATCACAGTTGGAGCAAATGAAGCTTCTTCTTTTTAAAGATGGGGTCGCAAAAACTGGTTTTGCTTTACATTCATAGCAATCTGACAAAATATGTTCTAACTTAGATTTTATGAATGACAAAAGAAATTTTTAATTAAACATTGATTATAAATTTGAGTTGGTTCAATTAAACTCTTAGCCCCTAGCTAATAGCTTGTGAGTGAAGCAGTATTCAGCTGTCAAAATTTGGGGTTAAAAAAGGTAAAGTTTATTTTTTCCGACAGTAACTCAGAGTAAAATTGTTGAAAGCTTTTTGCAGTTTTATGCTGTTTAAGAAGCATACATTTTGTAATAAAATACAATTTAGTCACCTCATGCTTTATGACATGTATGAATCAAATTTTAGATTTGATAAGCTTGTAAGTCCCACTTTACAGAACCTATGAATTAATAATTTAATTGACTATCTAGCATTCTTTAAAGGAACACCACCTGCCTTTGATGTCAGCATTCTAAAGTCAAATCCTCATACATTTGAAAGTTTTCATCCATGATAGTATGTGACACAATATTGCAAGGTTTTGCAAAGCCTGCTAGCTTGAGCATGTGCTGTGATCTCCTCTCAGTTGTTACCACGTTCAGCTCAATATTTGTAAGTTTAACTGAGTTTCTGAAAGTTTTGTGTTTGCCATGGTCACAAACAGCAGAAGCCATCTAGAATGTTATTGACTTCAAAATTTCTCATTTGTGGATGAACATCTTGTACTTTTTGCAAATTTCATTCAAATTTGTTCAGTAGTTCATTGGAAATGTAGCTTAAAATGAAATAATTCATCCCAACATTTTATTTAGCTTCTCTTCATGATTTTGGGGGTTTTCTTTCCAGAAATAACTGATAATTACGTGAACAAAATTCACCATCCTAAACTATGATGTGTGTGTTTCAGTCTCTGCCTGCAGTGTTTAGGATTGAGCTCAAACATGGCGAGTTTACCTGGGTGGTCAAGAGAAAAGAGAAGCACTTCATGGAACTGCACAGAGAGCTGAAGACATACAAAACCCTCATTAGGATACCGCTGCCATCTCGCAGGTTAACACACACACACACACACACACACACACACACACACACACACACACACACACACACACACACACACACACACGTACGCACGCACGCGCACACACACACACACACACACTGAAAAGGTGGGCGATTCTTTTCATGACCAAAGCAACAACCACATGAAAGCACAATTACCTTGTGTGTGTGTGTGTGCGTGTTTTTTTTCTTCAGATTAACAGCAAGAACACATAAGCAGCATTTTAGCCTTTAGTTCTAGTTTTTACATTTGACTAAAAAACCTCAAGCCTTATTTTCTGTATGGGGTTTTACAAGCGCTCTTTGGAAGAACACTTTTAAGTGTGGCCTTTTGATTTCCTGCTTTGCAGCCATACAGTGAGGAGGCAGACAGTGAGGAAGAGTGAGGTTAGGGAGATGCCCTCCTTGCCCAGAGGAGGAGGAGATGAGCTGGTGCGAGATGAGCAGGTCTCCAGCAGGAGAGTATGTGGCAGCCTTTTGATTCTAGCTTGTTTTCCTGGTTGGTGAATGGTTTTAACATCTAATCTATTTTCTCCCCTTTGTTGCCATGGCACTAAACTAAATGCCAGAACATGTTTTCTCTTAAACTCTCCCTGCATGTGCATGCATAATGATCATTATGTGCAAAGATTTGTGTTTGTTCTTATTTTTGTAAAGCCTCACCAGGTGAATTGTGTTTCTACAGAGGCAGTTAGAGGACTATTTGAACACGCTTCTGAAGATGGCCATGTACCGCAAATATCATCATACTGTGAGTAATTAATTAAGCTGTAAAATGTCACACAGCATTTACCAAATGTGTCATTTTAGTTTAGTTTTCGTTTTCTAGCCATTTCATTAGAATAATGGAATTTTCTGGCCACTTTCTGATTTTATGAAACTCTAAACCACAGAGTTCAAATTTAGGCATTTAGATAAACAAAATAAATGAATAAAATAAATGAAAAGCACAAATGTCCCTGTCAGACATATTATGCATATCAATTACAATGGTACATTTAGTAAATAACAGCAAGATATTCATATCTATGAAACTACCAATTTCTTTGTTCAAATTCATCAATTTATTTAAAGTTATAGGGTTCACATAAAAGGTGGACAAAACATTCCTGAACTAGAAAATAAAGCTGACCCTTGTGTTGATAACGTTAACAAACCAACTACATAATTCACATATGTAATTAAAGGAAATAAGCCTCTTTCCACCTGCAGATTGTCCACCAGAGGGCAGTAGACATGACTGGACATGGTTAGATTCTAATGAAGGTACTAATCCTAATACTTCAACTGGGTGCTTCAAGGCCCGAAATGGTTTGATAGGAGTTTGTGACATTAGTCTACAAGAAGTTTAGTCACAAGTAAGTATTGAATGGAAAATATCTGCCTAAATTCTACAAAAGCTACAGAAACCAATTAGGAACAGTTTCCTTTTTGTGGCATCTTCGACATCAGTGGTGTTCAATTCCAGAGCTGGAGGGCCGGTATGCAGCATATTTTAGTTGAAATTCTTTTTCAACGCACCTGATTTCAATCAGCAGGCGACTAACAGGCTTCTGCAAAGCCTGAGGGGCTGCTGCACACTTGATTCAACCACTGAATCAAGTGTGTCGGAGCAGAGAAACCACTAAAACGTGCTGGATAGCAGCCCTCCAGGCCCAGAATTGAATGGCCCTGTTCTAAACGCTTACTATAGCTTGGATTAGCACTTAGCTATGAGGAATTCATAAACATGTTTTTGCTGCAATGCGTTAATTGACCAAAACAAACCGAACTCCGATCACATTTAGATCACCAGCATTGTTAGCGGACAGCATTTTAACCTTCTCCTTTACTCACAGTAAACTTACCTGATTAAATCCATTATTTTACTTTTCCCCACAGCTTCATGGAGCAGGGAGGATGTTAATTATAAGGATTAAACAACATTTAAATTAGACTCCTGATGTAATTAAGTTAAATCTTTAATCTGCTGATCTTCATGATAAAATGAGCCTTAAAGCCGAGCATTTCTATAACAATGCCTTGTTTTTTTTAATGCTATGCTTAATTTATTCATGACATTACATAAATGAGACCGTAGCTTCCTCATACTCTCTGTTTGTCCAGCTGAATAGTTTTCTCTGGAGTTCACTTGGCCATTGGATTGAAGTTTTCTATTATCTTGTGTTTTTGTTGTTTGTTTACTTGTTGACATTTGCTACGCTATCTTCAGAATAAATCTCATTTCCTTCCATGTCAATGTCTGAGGGGTCATAACTGTTTCCCACGAGTGAAATGCCCTGAAGGTGTTTGGATTTGACGGTTTACCACATGCACTACGCCGTGTTTGTAGAAGCACCAGTGTATGAAGCTTCTCTTTTCTCAGATGGAGTTCATTGACGTCAGCCAGCTGTCTTTCATCCATGACTTGGGGCCCAAAGGACTGTGAGGATTATCTCCTTATCTGATTCTTGTTTCATCTCATATTGCATTTATTACAATCTGGATTTGTTACTGAATGCTGTTAAGATTTAATGCATCTTTTCTTTGATGTTTTCCAGGGAGGGGATGATCTATAAGCGTTCAGGTGGACATCGTATTCCTGGTTTGAACTGCTGTGGTCACGGTCAGGCCTGTTACCGCTGGTCCAAACGGTTCGTGATCACAGCTCTGTCTTTTCAGCGATCTTTGTCTCCTGATTTATTTCACACTCCTCTGTCTTCCACCCACTGCTTTAGTTGCCATGTTAACATCATTTAAATCACTGCTAGTGAGTGTTTTCTTTTCCTCTTTTCATCAATTTATTGGCAATCATTTTGGTAGCTTTAATAAATGTATTCAAGGCAAAAGGATGCAAACTTCACAGAAACTTTTTAATGCAAGTCCTTTTTCTAAAACTACTCATCCAAACAGATATGCAAGCCATCTATAATGTTGTTTTCTTTTTACAAGACAACACACACACGCAAAATCCCACACGTTTGAAAGCTTGGCCCATCCACCTACATCCTCATGTTGCTTTTCTTCCTACTCTCTGTTTCTTTAAACAAAAATGAAACAAATAGACCTCAGAAATCAGTTAAGATCTGCGGGGTTTACATGAACTCAGAAATCAGAAGTTGGTGTGATCTTTAATGATGTTCATAAGAACTGTGTGTGTGTGTGTGTGTGTGTGTGTGTGTGTGTGTGTGTGTGTGTGTGTGTGTGTGTGTGTGTGTGTGGTAGCTGGCTTGTGGTGAAAGATTCCTTCCTGGTGTACATGAAGGCAGATAAAGGAGTGATCTCCTTTGTTCTACTGGTGGACAAAGAGTTCAGCATCAGGATGGACTCCAAGGACACAGAGACCAAACACGGAGTCCGGATCGATAGTCTTTCAAGGTTAATTCCACTTTTAAAAACTCAATCTGTGGTTAAGAAAAGAAAAATATTCAAAATCTTAGATTTAATCCTTAAACGTATTCTTCAAAGTCTGATGTGAAAAGACAGGAGGGATATTTTAACCCCCAGAGACCCAAATTTAGAAAACAACTGCAAAATCTTTTTTTCAACCTTTCACATGTTGTTCTAGGAGGCCAGATAAACGGGCCTATTTACACATTTTAACAGCCAATAGTGTTGCAGAACTGAACAATAGGACCTATTGGCAATGTAAATGTGGTTTTAAAAAGAAAAAAAATGGGGAAGGTTTATATTTGTAGACTTAAATCTGATGTTGTAATATTACAACCGTGGGTCTCTGGGGGTTAAAGTGTGTTTCTGTGAAAAGCAGTTACCTGTTAACTCTTTAAACAACCTCAGTTTGTAGAAACAGACAATAGTTCTGGCCAGACAGATGAGCTAATGACTCGTACGAATGGGACCCATTACAAAGTCTGTTCCCTAAAACAACTCTATTCACAAATGCTGCCTAGGGGTTCCGGCAAATTTGATTTAATACGCTTTATACGCTACATGCCTTCAACACCATCCAGTCGTGTCTACTGCAGCAGAAGATGAGGGATGCAGGAGTGGACGAACATCTGACTGCATGGGCTATTAACCATCTCAACAACAGGCCACAGTACGTGAGGCTGCACAACTGTATGTCTGAGGTGGCTGTGTGCAATACGAGAGCTCCACAGGGTACGGTGCTCTCACCCTTTCTCTTCACCTTCTACACATTGGACTTCACCTACCACACTAGTAGCTGTCACCTCCAGAAGTTCTCTGATGACTCGGCCATTGTTGGCTGTGCGTCTGAGGGGAATGATCTGAAGTGGACTTCATGGACTTTGTGGACTAGTGTGAGTGTAGCCACCTTCGCTTGAAGGAAATGGTGATTGACTTCCAGAGAAACAATCCTCCTCACTCACCAGTAAACATCCAGGGAGCAGACATTGAGGTGGTGGGTCTTGGGTGTTCACCTCAACAACAAACTGAACTGGTCCAGTAACACAGAAGGAGCAAGAAGGAGCAAAGCAGACACCACCTCCTGTAGAACAACCCATTCTACGTACCCAAAAACAGACAATACTGCTGTTTGTTTCCAAAATTGACCACAGAATTTGCCAGTGTTGCACATCGGATTGGAGATTCAAAATTTAAACATGCTGGCACCATTCCATTTAAAATGTATGACAATTTGAGTTTGGAAATGTTTAAAGACATTTTGTGACTATTTTTAGCTCATCTGTTTGATCAGACCTAATCTCAATTTCTCCAAACTGAGGTCTTTTAATGAGCCAATGACACCACGGAAAACCATCACTTTTCTCCATTCATACCATCCATGCTGTAACTGAAACATAGAAATCCAACCATCATAACATTGGCTATGAAACACTCTTTAGCTTGCGTCCACAATAAGGCGCCAAAAACAAAGTTTAAAAATGTTCTATTTTGGAAAGTAAAAAAAAGGTAATATCTGAGAATTTAAATGACCGTATCTGTGTATTCCCATTAAATTCCTGCATCACATCCATGCAATTCTCATCTGCAGGACACTTGTGTTTAAGTGCAGCAGCTACAGACATGCACGCTGGTGGGGCCAGAGCATTGAGAGCTTTGTGCGGAATCATGGGAAGGCGTTTCTTCGGGATCACCGCTTTGGATCATTTGCACAAGAGGAGGAAAACGTCCCTTCCAAGTGGTAACCATGCTGAGAGAAAGGATTTGTTAGTGATGCTGATGTGCATCTGACAAGTAAAAATGGAGACTAATAAATGTAAACAGATACAAATAGAGAAACTACTTTGAACGAGATGCTAACCTGTCGTTTTTTATTCATGCATGTAAAAAATTATGTTAAATTCTAATTAAATGGTTCTGTGATCATCTTGTGCTCTCTCTCTCTCTCTCTCTCTCTCTCTCTCTCTCTCTCTCTCTCTCTCTCTCTCTCTCTCTCTCTCTCTCTCTCTCTCTCTCTTAAATAAATACATGAATTACTAAATAAAATAAAGGCAGTGTAAAGTTTCATGAATAAAAGCAAGCTCTAATCTTATCACTGGTAACCATGGAAATGCTGCAAAGGACCGAGCAGTCAGCTCTCTTTTGCCATTCATTTTTTCTTTTATATTTTATGTTTTTTCTCCTTCAGCCTGACAGTTCGTTTGATATTGAATCACGTGTGATAAAAAATCAACTGTCTTAGTAAAAAGTGGAGATCCTGCAGGGACAGATGCCACAATACATCTGGATGCAACCTTAAGATTGTAAAGGGAGCTCAGGAGTGATGAGGGTCAGGGAAGTGAATGACAGAAGCATCATCTGCTGTATTAAAAATGACTTCCAGTGACTTATTCCGAGTTTATTTACAGTTTTCAGGCAAGCAGTGATGTGCTTCTTCAGGTGTTTGACTCAAAGTAAACCACGCTTGTTACGTTTTGCCAGCGGAGATGTAGTTTCTGTTTTCAGTAGCTGCAACATAAATCTGTAAAAACATCTGTGCAGGTATGTGAACGGAAAGACTTACATGGAGGATGTGGCTGATGCTTTGGAAGAAGCTAAAGAGGAAATCTTCATCACTGACTGGTGGTGAGTTTTATGATTTGTGCGTAAACATTCGGGATTTAGAAGTTTCCCTGTTCCAAAGCACCTGATTCATACAGAGAAGCATGACTATGGATGTTCAAACTTTTCTAGATTAAGGCCAAAGAAATCATGGTAAAACACTTTACGGGCCACCAAAAGTTCATTTTAAGGTACAAATATGCCAAAGTAATTTTTATTGTGGTTGTATAATTGTACTGCTCATTAAAAGGCCTAAATTATGCATGCTAGGCACTTGGAAGTCGCTTCTGACAAAAGTGTCTGCTAAATGAATACACATCACGGGTTCTCAACTGCAGCGCCCCCTAGGGATCGTTCAGGCTAAGTGAAAGGGCGATGAAAGTTTTGCATCCATATCAGTTGAGCTGAACACTCAGCTGTGACAGAAATCAAAGTTTATTAAGCTAGGCAGGTAACTTCATGATCCGCCTTCCTGTTAAAAGCAATATTAAGTACCGCTCTAGTAGTGTGTTATAAAATGTATTCCTGAATTTTTAATGATTTTGTTTTGCCTTTGAAAGTATTTTATTAGGTGGATTGGAAAATCACAATTTGCTTCATGTTTCTTCTCCTCAAAACCAAAGAATCATGTGTTTTAAGTAAGAATGCACAAACATTTACTTACTAATTTGAAGTCACAACCCTCAAAAACTTTGCAGCAGCCAAAAACCCGTATGGCATAAGGCTTTGTTGTCTTATTTGCACATGATCAATCATTCTGCAAATGAATGAGAGAACAGCTTGGTACCAGTGAGTGTAGCACATGGCCTCACACCTTATATTGTGTATTAGCCACATGTCTGCGCCTGCCAGGGAGTCGGGTTGTGGTACGAGCTGTAATTACAGCATCTAACTAAGAATAGAAAAACACAGACGTCTCTGCGACAGTTTACACATCTGCTGGAGCCCTTTTATCCCTCAGTCTTTTCAAAGTACAGTGAGTCTGGCACTCAAATATTGCCTGTTTTCTAGTATAATTTCAAAATTTCTACATTTAAAATGGATTTTCTTTCATTTTTCTGAAGTGAAATGAAACTATGTTTGCTGCTACAGGCAGGGTTCTGATATACCTGCCCCTGTAATCTCATACTGGTATTTTGTGGTCACTCTGAGCCAAGCGAGTGTTGAAAATGGCTGAAATCCCAGGAATCAAGGCAGTAATCACTAGGCTTAAGGTCTTTTCCAATGAGGTGTCAGCTCATGTCATTGTCGGTGCATAAGCTCAGTATACCGACGTCAGTGACTCATCAGACTATATCATTATGTCATGTCTGTAGAGAGATGTTGGAAGCTCTGACTGGTGAAAGTCATGATTCATTGCACACGAAAGCTGATCAGAAATTCATTTCTTAGACAGTTTCTTCTTTAGGTTTTTCTAATTTCCTTCTGTTGGTCTTTCTGTCAGGTTGAGTCCAGAGATTTTCCTGAAGAGGCCTGTTGTAGAGGGCAACAGGTGGAGGCTGGACTGTATACTCAAGCGCAAAGCAGTAAGTCAGAAATTCCTTGTCAGCATCATCACAACTTAAAGAGCAAGTCACCCCCAAAGTTATTTTGGCTGATAAGCTGTATAAATTAGTGTCTAATAGTTCTATAGACACGTGTAGTCGCTATTGTGGCATTTTAGTGCATAAAAAAATAGAAGTACTCTGCTTTCAACCATCAATGTAGCGCCCTCTTCGGGTTAATAGTCTGCACTATATTTCCTCTGATGGAGAAACTCTGAAAGCATGTGTGTGTGCGCACATGTGAGTGTGTGTGTGGTGCTCAGTCACTGTTGCAGCGCAGCTGTCTTGGTCCGCCAGGCAGCGCCTCCTTTGTTTGTTAAACAGGAAGTATGGGTGGAGTAAGACTCTGGTAGGGGGGTGACTTGCTCTTTAAATAAATACAAAAACCTCTGCCAATTTAAATGTAAAACCATACCATAGCATTTTATTTGCATTACAGCTGACCAAAGCATTAAAAACTAACAAGCTAAATAATCTCATAGAAAGAACAGTTAAAAAGACTGGAACAAAAAACAAAAAGGCAACTAAAACCATAAAATATACTAATTTAAAATTAAACAATCAAGATGGAAAGGAGTAAACCCTGTAGGCTTAATGCTACGACCAGGAGAAATAGTACACTTTAAGACTAGATTTGAAAGCGGCGGTTGAAGGCACTCTGACTCATAATTCCATGAAAAATGATTTTCTGGGCAAATCTTCATCTCATCTGCCAACTTTAAAATGAAAGGTTGCAATTTCTTTTCTTTTTATTTACTTTCTTTTGAATGGGTAAACAGATAATAGGCATGCACTAAGCATATTGCAGTGCAGCTGGCTAGAATTGTATCCTTGCAGAGAGGAGGTCTATATTCTGGTTGGCACATTTGTGGTTTGCGTTTTCTTCCTATTTGGGTTTCTAAATGTATGTCAGGTCAAATGGAGATCATACATTGATGCCAGGTGTAAATGTGGCCCTGTGATGATAGCTGCTCCTTCTTGGGTCACTCAACAAAATGTAGCGCATAAAAAAAAACATTTAAATAATCTTGTGCACTGGTAAATTTCCAAAATCCAATGTATTTATCTGGTTTTTGTCCATAGCAACAGGGAGTGCGGGTCTTTGTGATGCTGTATAAGGAGGTGGAGCTTGCACTGGGCATCAACTCAGGCTACAGCAAACGGACGCTCATGCACCTTCACCCAAACATCAAGGTAAACAAAAAGATCATGGCGAGTCAATAAGTCCACCACGATGTAGCACACAAATGTACAAACTTTAAACATAAACAAAAAACATGTGTGCAGGTGATGCGTCATCCAGACCACGTCTCCTCCTCTGTCTATCTCTGGGCCCACCATGAGAAGATTGTGGTTATCGACCAATCGGTGGCCTTTGTGGGCGGGATCGACCTGGCATATGGCCGCTGGGATGACAAAGAGCATCGACTGACTGATGTGGGCAGTGTGACCCGCTCTGTGGCCCCTGAGCAGGTCAGACACAACCCTTCACATCAAATATCTCACCCACAGGTAGATGAGGCTTTCATCCAATCATGGCTGCTTGAATATAGAAACTATCCATCTGAAAACAATCATACTACAGTCATGCATTCATTTTCTACACAGAGCAAACCGATTCTTTTCCAGTCTGACTCTCTTTTAATGTAAAGTTTATTTTTAGCTTGATATCTTCAACAAATCATGACCAAAATACATGTTTGATCCCTTTTGAAACTTAATCAATTGTAATTAAAGATGTCTTAATGCATGAAGTCGTTTGTGTTTGCTGAGTTCATATTTAGTTCCATGATTATTATTTTTCTTTTTAAATGCTTTCAGGCAGGCACCAACAATTCTCTAGTAGAAAGGGTAGCACCATCTTCCACTGATGGTGTCTCCCAGAGCAACGGCGATGGGACCCCACCCACTGACTCTGTGGAGTTACCTAAGCTGAAGGGAATTGGTCGCAGCAGGATGGCTCGCTTCAGCTTGTACCGACACCTACAAAAACACACTCTGCCACACGCAGACAGCATCAGCAGTGTTGACAGTGCAGGTGTGTAAAAGCATTTAAAGGAACAATGTGAGAGAATGAATACTTGGGCTAATTTAGCTAAAACATGCTCTGTTATCCACACTTAGGATAGGAAATGAGTCAGTAAATGTGCACTTAATTTTTTTGCATTCATTAAAACAAATGTGATTAAAGTTGGTTTTGTAATAAAAGCTTATGAGCAAGTCATGTTTTCCTTACTTGACATAGCTTTCTGAGTTAATTTGGATAAATGAAATAATTATCTGACTGGTGTGACAAACTAATGGCTTATGGGCTCGACACACGGGAGGCGATAAACAACTGCGATCAGCAAAATTTGTCGCTGTCGCTTTTATTACCTGACACACGGGAGGCGATCCGCAGCAGCGGCCAGCGGCAAAGCCGTTGACGCGTTCTGTTCCATGGCGAAATCAAATCTTCCGTTGTTTTGCTTGGCTGTGTCAGGTTGGAGGGAATTAAGGTTATTTAAGTGGTTCAGAGTTAAAAAAGTGGTAGATATGATGTTTCACAAGGTGCGGTTAGAGTTATGTGAAATCTTACTTCTGATTTTACTTTATAAAACCTAATAATCAACTTCTCCTCCATGTTTGCTCGGAGATGTACGGAGCATCCTGTCCGCTCATTGGTCAGTGAATGAAACCTCCGTTGATTGGTCCTCGTCCGAGCGACAGCGATGAAAAGTTGAAAATGTTTCAACTTTCTGGGATCGCGTCGCTAAGTCGCCTGTGCACGACACGTGCACGAGCGCAAAATTTCACACGCACGTTTTTCGCGTTTCGCTTGGTAGGAGGGAGACCCGCGATTTTCGTTTTGTTGCGCATGTCTCATTGAAAATGAATGGAGGAGAGGCGATGTCGCCTCCCGTGTGTCGAGCCCATTAGGTTTTGTATCCCTAGGGCATCTTAGGAAACTTCAGGAACAACCAGAATCTTTCTGAATGGTGATGTCTGCATGAACTGTTCTGATTTATATAAAGATTAAAGTAATCTGCTTTGTAACAAGACCAATAGTGCCTAGCTGTTAGCTTGTCAGTCTGGTCAGAACTAAAACCATCTTCTCCAAACTGGACACTGCAAAGGCTACAACAGGAATTATTATATTTGTTCAGAGTTAAACTACTGTACTGTTTATGTTCTACTTGTGGAGGGAGTGGTTCTGTTCAAAGTCTTAAGACCGGAGTTGGCGAGCTGCAAGGAAACACCCGTTTCTGGCATGGAAAAGACTACTGCAACTTTGTCTACAAGGACTGGATCCAGCTGGAGAAACCTTTTGATGGTCTGGTACACACACACACACACACACACACACACACACACACACACACACACACACACACACGCACACGCACACGCACACGCACACACACACACACACATTCTCTTGTTTCTGTAACCTGTATTTAATACAAACGTAACCTGAAAAAGATCGGCAAAATGAAAGCTGTTTAACTTATACACATTTTGCTCCCAATTACTTTTTACAGTCATTAACTTCAATGAGTCCTAAAGCACTCGTCTCTAACATTTCATATATTTTTCACCAGATAGAATTTCATTTTACAAAAAGCTGTCTTGTCTTTTTTTTCATGCCGACCTTTTTTCTTGCACATTCCTCTTATATTGATCCCTCTTTCTCTCTGTGCAGACTTTATTGACCGATACACCACTCCTAGAATGCCTTGGCATGACATCGCCTCAGTGGTTCATGGGAGAGGCGCCAGGGACGTGGCGAGACACTTCATTCAGCGATGGAACTTTACTAAGGCACTGGCATTTCCACACTCTGCACACAGAAAACCACTCGTAGATGGAAAACAAGAACACAATATTTAACCTTTATGGATATTGAATGTTATGGGATGAATTTAATTTATGTTGTCTAGTGTTTTGTATAATTAATGTGTTTTGTATAATTAATTTGACTATTTTAAAATGCAAAATTTAAGTAACTTCAAATAATGGCAAACTGGTGTTAACCCCAAGCACAGATCATTGCTTAGTGACTATAAATTTAAGTTTGAGCTGGGAAAAATATCTCCATATTTTCCGTGACATATTTTTATTCCTCCAATTTCCCATGCTATCATTTTGTCCAATCCCCTTTTTGTTGACAAAACGTTTTCCCTCCCTTTGCCCTAATTCTCCGTCTCTCATGCAGATCATGAAGCCAAAGTATCGCTCTCTGTCTTATCCATTCCTCCTGCCCAAGTCTCACTCCACTGCCAATGAGCTCAAGTATCAAGTCGCAGGATGTGTTAATACAAACGTTCAGGTAAGAAAATGTATTCTTCATTTATGTTAAAATTCTTAATTTATGAAGAAAAGGAAAAGTATCTAAATATTCATTTGAAAGGAAATCCAAGCACCGACATGGTTGAAAATTAAACAGAACTCACACTGATTAAACTACGACTCTCCCACATTTTCCACTTCTTGAACTCTTTTTGGGAACAGATAAAAGAGAGTAAATATTAAAGCTTCATAGAAGCCAAAACGTTACATAACTGCACGTCATGCATCTTTCGTTGTGACTGAGGGCTTTCAGAAGGAAGGACATGACCCTTGGTATATTTGCTTGTCTGTAATAGGAAGAGCAGGAAGTCCACTTCTCCAGTTCAGTGTACTTTGTTAAAAATGGTTGTCTCTTTGTCTCCTGTCTTAGGCCTAGTCCACACGTAGCCGGGTTTTTTTTAAAAACAAATATCTGCCCCTCCAAAAACTTGCATCCACACCACCTCGTTTTAAAAAAAACTGTCCACATGTACCCGGATAAATGCGTTGTAAAGGACATGCCGGACATGCCAGACCTGTAGGCGGCAGTACTTCCCTCGTTCTGAACCTCGTCCTTCGTCTGTGGTCTTCCGCAAAGAGCAGTAATTCCGCTTGCAAAAACAAACAAGCAAAAAGCGCTTGGACAATTGATAAAGCGAGCGCAGCTCTGAGGGCATCCATGCTGTCGGCTAGTGTAAACACAGGTCGCACACGTGATGTCAGCATTTTTTTGTCGCGGAAAGTGACGTTGCGGACCATAAAACTCCGGTTTTGTCTGTCCACACGCAGACACCCAAAACGGAGAAAACGCAGATCTTCACTTTGGCCGGAGTTTTTAAAAAGATCCGTTTTCGTGTGAAAAAACTCCGTTTTCGTGTGGATGACAGGCCAAAACGTAGAAAAATATCTACCTTTTGGCAGATCCCCGGCTACGTGTGGACAGGGCCTTAGATTCCATTTTTTGCAACTGTTACTGAATCTAATCAAAGCACTATTTGTGAGAGTTAAAAGTACCTACGTTTGTACATATTTTAAAATCCTAAGAGACTTTTTCATTTTGTTTAGAATTTATTTACTAAAAATTAGATGAGACTTTTCTTAGAAATAAACCTATGTGGCACAGATTCCTCCATCCATCCCATCGACATATGTACTGGACAAATAATTTCCGTAGGCTGGAATTATAAGTTTTTGTTTCCAAATGGGAGGTTCCCGCCACTGCCATTTTGACAGTGCCAAACGTCTCATCAGACAATCGTTACGATTAGAACCACATTAACCAATGTAGCTACTAGCTAACTTAGCTAACCCAAGATGCTAACAAGAGGTTTTGGGGACTGGGGTAGCCCACTCGCACGGCTGACTGGCTTTTGTGCAAGGCTGTAGTCATGCTGGTCACCTGTGGAGATCTGCTTCCACAGTTTTCTAAAATATTGGGAAAAGTATTTGTATCAAGGTTGGATAAATTCATCGAAAAAATAATATTTTAAACAATGAACAATATGGGTGTAGAACTAAACATTCCACAGCAATGGCAATAATGGAATTAACAGATAAAATGTCAACAGCAATTGACAATAAAAATGACTTTGTTAGTGTTTTAATTGATTTGAAAAAAGCTTTTGACATCATTAATCACTCAAGGTTACTTCGAAAATTAAGTCCGTATGGAATAAGAGGTGTGGTTCATCGATGGTTTAAAACATATTTAGAAAAAAGGAAACCGTTTGTTCAGATAAAGGACCATAAATCAAAACTATGTGAAATTAATTGTGGAGTGCCACAAGGGTCGGTCCTCAGACCAAAACTGTCCATTTTGTTTAATAATGACTTGGTAAATGTATCTAAGACACTTGGTACCATTCTATTTGCAGATGATGCAACACTGTTTTACTCAGGATCAAATATTGAGGAGGTGGCTAAAGTGATAAATGACGAACTGATTAAAATTAAAAACTGGTTTGATATAAATAGATTGACACTGAATCTTAATAAGACACATTTTATACGGTTTAATGATAAAAAGAACAGTGATGTGTCATTGGAAATAGATGGGATTGCAATTCAAAGAGTAAAAGAAACTAAATTTCTTGGAGTTCTTATTGATGAAGACTTGTCATGGAAACCCCATATTAGTTACATAAAAGGTAAAATTGCCAAATCCTTGGGAGTATTACATAGAGTCAAGTTTTCACTGACTAATTCTGGTTTGTTGGCATTGTACAATTCACTGATTGTTCCATACTTGACTTATTGTGTAGAAATCTGGGGAGCGACATACAAAAACTATACACAACCCTTATTTATTTTACAGAAAAGAGCTCTGAGAATCATCAATTATAGTGGCTGTAGAGATCCATCAAACCCATTGTTTATTAAATATAAATTACTGAAATGTCATGATTTAAAAGACTGGAAAATCATACAAACCATGTATAAAGCCAATTTAGGTACTCTACCAACAAACATTCAGGGGATATTTGAAAAGAGAACTAGTAATCACATGCTAGATTTAGAACTAAAATTAAGGAGTGGAATATATCTGTAAATGGTGTTAAATTATGGAATAACCTTAAAAGGGAAATTTAAAAAACTCTGTCATTTAATATATTCAAAAAATGTACAAAATTGAGTGTACTAAATAATTATGAAAATGTAAATTAAATCAATGATCATGATAGCACTGGAATTTAGAACAGGAAAAAGTTTAAAATGAATCAGTATGCGTGTCTGACAAATGATAATTATATATTAATTGATTATTTCTACTGAAAAAGGGGGCAGAAATTATAAGATATTTTCTTCATTCTGCTCCTTTCCGTTCCAATTTGATTTTTTGTTATGTTTTTCTTATTGTTTATGTATTTTATTTGCTTTTATTTTGAATGAAATGAATGGAAAAAAATGGACTGGGACAGTTAAATTAAAAAGCAAAGCCTCAGACTGCTGCAATTATAGCCAGGCGTCGTGGCCTGCTTATGCTCCACTGTCAGAGATCAGCTGGACAGTACCTACATGCTAACCCGTAGCTAACAGAGCTTTTCCAGCATTTTTAGCTAGAAAAACGTGGTACAGCAAGTCCAAAGTGACGGTACCTTCGACCTGCTTGGAAACAAAATCATAACTAGGTAAGCTGACTGAGGATATGAGGCTTTGCTGGTCAAAAATCTGCGAGTCCGCCATAGTCGACACATCACAGACAATATGTTATATATCATATAATCTGATATATTAATTTATTTGATATAGTTGTCGACACAGAGCAAGGAGCCAAATGACTAAGCAGTGTTATGGTAAACGCATAGAATTTTCCCCATTCAACCAGCAAACTATTAGCGAGAAAAATGTGGTTGAGCTGTGGTGTTTCAGTGGTCTCCATCAGAGATCTACAAGTGACCAGCATGACTACAGCCTCGCATATAAGACTTCTTCGTGGCTGACCCAGGAAACGGGAACAGCCAGCTGCCTGTTTCAACAACTGTTCCTAGGCACGAGACAGGTGAAACCAGGCACCCTCATGTTTCTTATGCAGCTCCACTAACATGTTTGACCAAGCAGTTAAATGACACATCATTTCCCCTCCATTCACCCAGCGAAATAAAACACATAAATATAATTGGATTTACTGGTAAAAAAGAAGCAAAAACTGCTTGGATGATCTGTTAGTGCAGTCAACAACCACAGCTTGCCCTCTTTGTCCAAATAATTCCATGCTTAACATCCAAGCAGACACACACAGAGGACACAGCTTAAGTTTTTAGTCAAAATGGCCGAACATCTATTAACGTGAGGCCCAGGCTGAGGCCTTTCGCCTGAGCTAGCTCTAGAGTCACGTACATGGCCATGATGCCCGTTAATTATTCAGAATTTTGAGCATTTAATTTCACTTAAACAGAAGAGTTGCAAATAATTTCACCCCACTCAGAGTTGTTATTAATGTAAACTAGATCTATTAAACCTAAAATGTTTTTTTGAACCAGACTGTAAACATGTTTATTTCTGCTGTGAAATGGGCATTCTTCACATGGGAGTCAATGAGAATTTGCTCACTTCTGCTTCCAGCCCCTAGTGGATGAAGATGGAACTGCAATTTTATGTTTATGTTTATGTATTCAGCAGACGCTTTTGTCCAAAGCAACTTACAAGTGATAATCGGCATGTTGAGGCTAACAATAATAATTACAACAACAACAACCATTTTCCAGTCAGTCATAGGTGGCAGTGAGGCAGCATGATGAATGATGGAGAGGAGGGAACAAGGAGTGGACAGTAGAGAGGGGGACGGGTGCAGGGGGGTGCTAGTTTAGAAGATGCTCTCTGAAGAGCAGGGTCTTCAGGAGATTCTTGAAAGTTGAAAAGGAAGCCCCTGCTCTTGTAGTGCTTGGTAGGCCATTCCACATTTGTGGAACGATGCATGAGAAGAGTCTGGATTGTCCTGAGTGTGGTGTAGGCTCTGCTAGCCGATGATCCTGTGGTGATCGGAGCGGCCGGGCCGAGACGTAAGCCTTTGCAAGAGGATTCAGGTAGATGGGAGCCGTACCATCTCGGAATTGTATGCTAGTGTTAGCAATTTGAATTTGATGCGTGCAGCTAGAGGTATCCAGTAGAGCTCAATGAACAGAGGGGTGATGTGTGCTCTTTTTAGCTGATTGAAGATCACACGCGCCGCTACATTGTGGACCATTTGAAGAGGTCTCACAGTACAGGCTGGAAGACCAGTTAGAAGGGCATTGCAGTAATCGAGGCGGGAGATGACAGTAGATTGCACCAGGAGCTGGGTGGCATGTTGTGTTAGGTATGGTCTGATCTTTCATATGTTATACAGCGCAAAGTGGCATGAACAAGCAACAGAGGCAACGTGATCTTTAAAGGTCAGGTGTTCATCAATCACAACACCCAGATTTCGAACTGCCTTTGAAGGAGCCAGAGATAGGAAGTCATTTTGGATTGAGATACTGTGCTGTATGGATGGTTTTGCTGGGATGACAAGTAGTTCAGTTTTAGAGAGGTTGAGTTGAAGATGGTGGGATTTCATCCATTTTGATATGTCAGAGAGATAGTTTGATATTTGTGCAGAGACAGTGTGCTCGTCCGGCGGAAATGACAGATAGAGCTGGGCGTCGTCTGCATAGCAATGGTAGGAGAAGCCATGTGATTGAATGATCTCACCCAGTGAGGTGGTGTATATGGCAAAGAGAAGAGGTCCTAGCACAGAGCCCTGGGGGACACCTGTGGCAAGATGGTGCACGGTAGAGGATTGTCCAAGCCAGGAATGATCGTCCTGTGAGGTACGATTCAAACCAGGCATGTGCTTTCTCTGTGATGCCCATGGTAGAGAGTGTGGTCACAAGGAAGCCATGGTTGACAGTGTCAAATGCAGCCGATAAGTCGAATAAGATAAGCACTGAGGATTTGGCAGTCGCTTTAGCTACCGTCTAGGTAGACATGTATGTCTTTACCCCGGAGTGTCTTCACACCGGAGGGGCTGAGACACAAGGGCTGATGCTTCAGTTATGCCACCAAACATGCTGTGCTCCTAGTTGGAAACAGGTGTCCATGCACTGGCTGATTGCAATGGTTGCACTTATTGTTTTCAGCTGGCCCAAATATTAGCCACTTCCTTGTTGGCTTCAGTTCTGGGTGCCTAGGGTTCTCTGTTGATCCATCCATATCACCACTGACACTATAAATTTCCACCTAGATGATCCCAAAGTTTTCCTATACCAGAGAGGATACAAGATCCCTCCAATAACTTCTATGTTTTCCTTTGTCCCTCCCAGTAGGATATGCCTTGAAGATCTAAATACATGTTGACAGCATCTTGTTCTTTTGCTCATGTTAAAAATCTTATGACCATCAGTAAAGGTTAGACCCTGGATGGACCAGTTAAGTCATCATAGAGCAATGCCTTCATCACACCCCGATCCACTGGTGCATCTCTAACTCTGTCTGACCAATGCTGATTGAAGAAGACACCAAGATACTTAATCTCTTCTGCTTGAGACTAGAACTCACTCCCAAGTTTGATACAATGGAGTTTATTTCTCAGAGAAATAGAAACCAGTTTGCCTTTGTGTGCCATAATGTACACATAAAATCAAAGTGAAACCCTCTTTTTAAAACTATATATAAACAATCCACTTCATTGGTTGCCACCCAGGTACTCACAGTGTTATATTTCTTTAGTATTTAGCCACCTGAAAAAAACTTCAGCAACATCACATCTGGTTTGAATACAGTAGGTGTGTACTTGTTAAGCAACAGACTTTTAGCAGTTGGGCTGTGGGATAGCAACATTAGATTCCCTCTGTGAGCACAGAAAAAGTCATTGTGCCCTAAAACCCACACTACTCTCTTCCCGTCACAGCCCAGTATGTCCTTGACCAAAGTTCATCAGAGTTCAGTGTGTAAATGTGCAAGCTCCTGCTTATTTGTCTTTGGTAGATAAATCGTGCCCAATGTATCACCTTGTTTCTACTCAAATATGGCTGTAAGGCCAGCTAAAAATTTATCCTCTCATTATAGCTTTTTCTTTGTGTCTAAGGTGTTACGGTCAGCAGCAGACTGGTCAGCAGGTATTAAATATCACGAGGAGTCCATCCATAATGCCTACATACAGGTCATTGCCAAGAGCAAGCACTACATCTACATCGAGGTAAGCCACTGGTGAGGGCAAGAGACAAAACTGAAAACAAAGGCCTGATAGATATGGAACTAAGATTGGGACAATATTACATGTAACCATGTTTTGTAACTTGTGACATGTTTTGTAACTGTGGCTTTTGTTTTGCAGCATGTAATTCACGTTTTGTAACACGTAACTTTCATTTAGTAGCGTGTAATTTTGGTACGTAACATGAAAGTTTAATTTTGTAACTTGCAGGAAAAAATCAATGTACAAGTTTCAAATAACAAATCTCAGTCTACAGTTACAAAGCTCAATTCTACAAATACAAAACATTTTGTCCCAACTCTAGCTTGCTTCCAAAAGAAGTCTTATCAGCCAATCATGTGTCACGAATTTCTGTCATTCTCATTGTAGAGTGAGACGTGTTTAGAGTTGTGAGTTGAAACTTGTACATTGATTTATTTTTTTCTGTAAGTTACAAAATGAAAGTTTCATGTCATGTACCAAAAGTTACGTGTTGCAAAACAAAGGTTATATGCTACAAAACAAAAGTTATGTGTTGCAAAACAAAATTACAGTTACAAAACATGTTACAGACTTGGTACAAGTTACATGTAATATTGTCCCAATCCTAGTTCCATAGATAGATAAAACTACTTTGACTTCTTCAATTTATTTATTTATTTATTTGCTTTTTTGTCATGCTAAAATATTTCTGACCTGAAAACAGATAACTTGAGTAAATACCAAAGGGCAGTGCCCAAAGAGAGAGAGTGAGAAAAAAAAATGAAATAGCCCCACATTACAGAATTTGCCAGCATTAACAGCCTGCTTTAAGGTCAAAGATCAGACATTTTCCTTCATGTTTTTTTTTTTTTACTAAAGAGCAAAAATCATGGTTCCATCAATAACAACATGTGGTCCAGCCCCAAACCATCACTTTACCACCACCATGTTGGTATGATGCTGGTTTTTACACCAGATCACTGGGTTTTCACAAACATCTTGAGAATCACAAACATACATTTTGGTAAATATGTTTAGGTTTAAGAAAAATTTTGATGCCATTTTTGCTCCTCCCATCTCTTAACCATTTTAACCCTTTAAGCGCCAGATTCTCAAATTTGCGACAAGGGTCATTGCTGGGTTTAATGAGCCACGGCTGTAAATATGATCCCTTGTGAAGTTATTACTTTGCACCAGAGGATAGTGGAGATGTGTAACTTCAATCTGAGCAACACATTTAGGTGTGTTTCAATTGAAATTTAGCTAAGTCTGTGGGCTTCATGAGAGTAAACATGCTGCACAAACATGATCTGAAGCTTATTTCACCATTTTTGGGACATGGCGGGTGTAGAAAGGTTGATAAAAACTTTACTAATGGTGACAATAATGTATAAAATATATAATAAATATGTAATTTTAAAACAGAAAAAATAAATTTCTAAAGAACTTTATAAATGTATATATATAAATTATACATTTCAAAATTTTATGGACATTTCTAAATAATATGTAAAAATATGAATGAACATCTGTAAAATGATGCATTCCAATAGATAGAAGATTTTTCTCATTTACAGTTTACCTTTATCCATAACCCTTTTCAAACCACAACCTTTTGAAATAGTCATGTCAAAATTGTATATTTTCTTGAAAAAACGTTGGCGCCCAAAGGGTTAAGAGACATGAGATGTTGATGTTTATTTGCTCTTGAGTAAAACCAAACATGATTTGTTGCTTTTTGAAATCTTTCACCTTTGTGTTGAAGTGACTTCTTTATTTTGATTATAATGAACTCATCCCTTTACAAAAGGGACATTACTTTTTCACGTAGGGCCAGATTGAGATAGATCTTTTACTCTGCATTTTACTTGTGTTATCTTTGCCTCCTATTAACATTTCTTTTGCTGATCTGAAACATTAAAGTTTGTCCAAAAAGCAAAATAAAAACATTCTCATTATGAGAAAGCATTTTTCATATTTTCTCTTATGTGTGCAGCTAGAACAACTGTAATATGATGCAAAAGAAGTACAGATTGTTTCACATCATGGATGTGTTTGCATCAGCATCGTAGATCTTACATTTTGGTTTTTGGTGATTATTAATTATTATTACTATTATTTAAAAATATTTCTCGCTTTCATTAATTGTACATGCTTACATGCCTTGTACCGCTTTTCTTTGTTTTGTTTAAAAGGAACCTCAAATGAGATGGCACGTCTCATGGGGTACTCCTCTTTAAATAAATGTCAAATGGGTGAGAGGCACCAGCAGACAATCAATCACCATCCCTATCAGCGTGTGGGAATGGATGAATGATTCACTAAAGTGTAAAGCACTTTGGTGTTCTCTGACTCTGAAAGGCGCTTTACAAGTGCAGGTCATTTATAATTTATCATGCAACAATCTCAGTGGATCCGAACTAAAACATGTGTAACTGTCATTCAGATTATTGCTATAATGTTTGTAATGTGGATTAAGAACTAATAACACCCAGAGAACAGGACAGATTAAAAAGTCATCGGCTAACTTTATTAACTAGCGTTAGATTAGCCAAAGCTTTTTAACCCTCCCCCTGTCTTTATGTGTGACCCCGTGAGGAAAGTTGACCATTGAGCAGGATTGATGTTTTATCCTTTGAGGTCCACATGGCAGGGGTGAGGTGGTGCTCCCTCCTCACCCCTGCCACATGGATCTCAAGGGATAAACCATCAACCCTGCTCAGTGGTCAACTTTCCTCGCAGGGCCACACCCATTAGGACAGTGGGAGGGTTAAAGTTCACTTTACAGCATCAATGAAACCACTTAGAAATATTTGTACGTTACGGTAACTTGAAACTCTATGACGAGTGATTGAGTTTTGATGGTGTTTTCATTTATTTCTGTCACAGAACCAGTTTTTCATCAGCTGTGCTGACAACAGGACAGTCTATAACAAGATCGGAGACGCCATCATTGAAAGGATCATCAGGGCATACAAGTACATTTTTTATATAAAATGATAATTGTGGGGAAATAAAGTCATTTACCCAATCTTTTTCTTATAACAGGACTCAAAATAATTTTTTAATAAAAAACACCAATGTGTTCTTTTGCTTTCAGCGAGGGTAAGAAGTTTCGTGTGTACGTAATCACGCCTCTACTTCCTGGCTTTGAAGGAGACATAAGCACTGGTGGGGGGAGTGCCCTCCAGGCTGTCATGCACTTCAACTACAGGTGAAGCACATGATGGACTTACATTTTCAACAGAAAGTGGGAAAGCTAATAAAAAAGAGAAGGAGGAAGTGGAATGAAGTCAAATTTAAAGATGCATCAAATCCTGTTTTGTCAGAACGATGAACCGAGGAGAACACTCCATCATCTCCCAGTTGAAAAAGGAGAGTAAGTGAACATTGTATTTATGATACTTCATGTTAGAAAGTCAGAGACTGATCATTTTTCTATTTCTATGTTTCCAAGTGGACGACCAGTGGATGAACTACATCTCCTTTGCTGGTTTGAGGACCCACACGGAGCTGGAGGGACGCCTCGTCACAGAGCTCATCTACGTCCACAGCAAAATGCTCATCGCTGACGACAACACGGTCATCATTGGTTAGTCTGTCTCTGGTCTCACCTTCTGTCACTCTTCCTGTGTTGTTTTCGTCGGCTGCTATTTGAAGAAGTCAACTTCTTTTTTCTTGACACCATCAGAATGTGAGAAAAGAGGAAATCCTGTCTTCTGTTTTTCTATCTTTTGCCATGTGTACTGCTAAAGAATGTGCATGCTGCAGTACTCTCACAATATATGGTGCAAGTTGTGAAGCTCTGGAGTGCCATCTGCTGGTAAAAGAGATGGAACACATCAAGAACAGAAAAAAGTATTTCAAAGCAAAACATGTTTATAGGGAAGCTCGATATTGGCCTCTTTATCAATATCCGATATACCAATATTGTCTGACTCCTAATTTCCCATACCGATATGAACCGATACTGATAAATGAAAAACATTTTCAGGCTATTAGCATCACATGTCCTTCTACTACTTCTACTTCAATCTATGTCAGCAGTAGGAAAAGTGCCATTTTTATTTGTCTCCAACAGCAGCTGAGTCCCATTCTCCCTGAGCATGATGCTAAGATTTGTGTTTCAGTCAGTATTGTGTTTTTTCTTTTTCTATATATTGCTGCTATGGTGATAAAACAGGTATAAAGCTCTTCAGATAAGAGCATTTGTTTGTTAGCTGTTTATGTACACATAGCTACATGCTGTAAGGACATGGCAAATTTCTACTTCACAAGCTGCGCCAGACAAACTATAATATCTCAAACATTTTACCTCTAGCCTGTCATATTTTGGCATTTTGAGAGACAGAAGCAGCTGAAGAGTGTGATGTATAATATTTATGGTATGTAAAAGTTGTGTCATTAAGACTGAAAACCAGTACTGATATTTTCCAATATTAAATTTTAATGCAGATATTGGTTGGTATTAATAGACCAATCGGACATTCCTATTTATTTATTCATTTTTATTTTAAATAAAAAAAAAAGGTTTGGTTAGTTTTTTCTTATGTGGGAATAATAAAAATAAACAGATTTTTACCATTTTACATTTTGTGAAATATCACCTGAAATTTACATAAAAATCTGCCATGTAGTTCTTTCATTAACAGCAGCCCAAGTCCATGGTTGTTGCTTCCACAGGATTTTGATGTGGTGTAGCTGAACTAATGTATTGGTTAACATTTTGTTTGCTGGTCTGGAGCATGCAGGTGTGTGTTAACACACTGTCCAAATGGATAGTGAGTACCTCAGAGATGTTTTAGCAATTCAAGAAAAGTTATTAAGGCTAAACGTTTGGAGCTATGTCCAACAGCAGTGGTGTCTAAAGTGCAGCTCCTAGGCTGTTTGTGGGCCTCGGAGTGTTTTTCTCAGCAATTTGGCCCACCGGCAGGCAGGCTCTTGAGAATATCGTACAATTTTTTAAACAAACCAGGGGTTTGAATCTATTTTTTTAAAGCTAAACACAAATGGTTTATATCTACAGCAATTCACAGATCTGTTTACTATAAAAATCATACTACTCTGTTCTTTAGGTTAAAACACTTTGGTCACCTTGTTACTGAGCAGGTAAAAATAATAGAACGTCACAGAAAATTGAGTTTGACATTTTTAAATTAAAAGAAATATAAATGTTTATGGTCGATGCAATGATTTTGGTACGCCACTAGATGTCACTGTTCTACAGCTGAAAAAACAAACAAACGATGCTGTAAGTTAACTTCCTTGCCATTTCACTCTCCAAGGTCAGATTATGCATTATTTTGAGAAAGTGCAAAAACATAAATAAATAAATAAATAAATAAATAAATAAATAAATAAATAAATAAATAACTGCTGCTAGTTTCTTATGTGTGGTCAAACCATGCTTTATTTTAAATTGCTGCTCAGGACTCATCAGGACCATTTTATGCTTCTGTTTCAATAACAGTTATCCACAATGCACAAAATAAAGGTTGCATATTCAGATAATTCCTGGTTAAATATAAGTAGTAAATTAACAAACAGAGACAAGAACAAATAAATAAATAATGTATCCCGTAGAATCGTTCAGACTGGTGGATGGTTGATGTTTGGGCTTCTTTAAGACTCCAAGTCAGTTATGAAGTCCTCTGTAAACCAGTTTAATACGAGGCCATCTGTCTGATTGATGAAGCTGTGGTGTGATGAACTTTGACACTACATATTTACATGACCAATAAGATGTGATGATTCCATATAAATATGAAATATCAACCTGATTGATCTTTGAATGTTTAATCAGAAGATTCTTGGGTTCTTTGCTTGTTCGGGGACCATAAACACACTTCGTATTAGCTCAGGCAAAGTCAGGAATAGTTTATAAAATGAATTTAATTCCTTTTCCTAAACTAATGATTATACTTGACAAGATATGAATAATGAGATGGGGTGTAATGGATATGGAGTGATGTAATGTGATGTGTGAAATGTTGTAATGGAAGCTAGATGTTTTAGCAAAACCATTCGTTGTATCTGAGAGAGTTTGTGAAGTCTGGGTTGTAAAAGAATTAGTTGTTTGTTTATAAACTAGCATTGTTTGTTTAAACTCATCGGACGCCAGTGTGCAGGCTACGATACCCTTGGTATGAGTTGCTCCCGGCGGTCCGGAGGAGTGCGGTCCGAGTGTTGAGGTCACCGGACGTCGAAACCACAATACTCAAAGATTAGTAGCTTCCTCTGAGTTCAGCTTCACCGGCCATGAGATGCAACCTGGGGTCTGCAGGATAGATGTCTGAGGTGTGAAGTAGCTCTGAAAAGAGCTGTTTGGTCTGTAAATCACTCACAGCGTCACAGAGAGGCTTTGGCTAGAGGTCAAAGGAGATGGTTTCAAAAGAGGCTTCTTCCCCGATTTGGCCGAATCGGGAGCCAACTGGAAACTGAATTAATTGGGAAGTAATTCCTGTTTTATTAAAGTCATTGGTTACAAACTCTGGGCAAGTTTGAGGGTTTTACCAAACATCCCTCAGAAAGCCACGCCTTCTTCAGATACAAGGGTGGTAGACACTTGTGAATGAGAATGTTTTAAAACACTTATGTGAAGTAAATATTAACATTAATAAGTATCTTATTGTAATGTGTAAGAGTGTAGATACTGATTAACTTGTTAAATCAGACACGCTGATCTGGTGTAGATAAGATCTGAAATGGATCATTGTAAGAACAATATTCATTTTAAAGCCATTGATTTTAACACAAATACTTCAAACATTTGAGTTAAACATCTTGTTCATTCAACACACATGATTATTTAGACTTTTAAGCTGTAAAGTTATTCATAATTCCAGATGACTTTCCTCAGTGTGAAAATGCAGGAGCTCTGCATGAGACCTTGACAAAGTTTAGACTTCCCACGGCAGCAACAACTGGGGCAGAGGTATGTTTGGACCTGGGTGTCCAAACAGATGGTGTTTTCCTGTCTGCAAATGAAAAGTTATCTTGTGTGGTCAATATGTTGGTGCAAATGGACCCCTTGGATACGTAACAAAGCTTAAACCAAACTAGTAGATTAATCAATATCGTAAGATGGCAGAGCAGTGAACAGAAGCAACGCTGCAATGAAGAAAGGAACCACATTTCATAATAAAGTGAGAAAATGATGTTGAAGATAAAATATCTCCAGAGTCTTTTCTGCTAAAGGAGCTTCTAAAAGCTGCAGAATCATATGATTGCTTGATTCTATTGTAACGTTTTGTAAATGGTTACATTTAATACATTGCCAATAAAATATAAAGGTATTCAAATGAATGTAATATTCCATAAAAATATGGATTATTACTATTATTGAACTTTTAATATTCCGTTGATGATGAAAATGTCATTTGGGTAGTGCCAGGGAAACAACTTTTTATAATAATTAGAAACAGAGGCAAAATATAGTTTACAAACATCTATTTCTTACTATATTTCTACTACTAATGATGATGCAGGACAAGTGATTATAAATAGTGATTCAAGGTAATATGACTGTTCTAAAAGCTTAATTAAGTGACTCAGAAAGATGTGATGTCTGGGTTTATAAAATAAATGGTTGAATTTTATTTACATTTAATTAGTTATCAAATTAATCTTAACCCATCTAATGCCATTGTGAAGAGCCTACGCACCAGTGTGGTGGAAGTTCTCCAGTGGGCAAGCAATGCGTGGGGGGGGGGGGGGGGGGGGGGGGGGGGGTTAACATAATAACTGGAGTGGAGAATAGGGAGGAGTATGAATAAAAATGTGTTTCATTACCAGAATTAAACCCAAATACTCAGTCCTAGACTGGGAGAAAGAATGACCAAACACAACAAACACAAATAAAACGAAAGGCGACGAGGGGAATCAAAACATCTGAGGCAAAAGGCCTCAGGGAAAAAGACACGAAAATAATTTAACAAACAAAAGTGCCGGAGTTGACTAACTAGAAAAATAACACATCTCTACGGCTATTTACTTTATAGTTTACTCTAAAGGACAAACGAAAAGCGAGCTCTACAGCTGGAAAACGGTCCAACGAAAATTCAAGCTGAAGAGCAGACATATGGATCTCAAAACGAAAACGGCTAATAATTACTCGAGGATTAACGAAAAAGAACTATCTATCTTAATTAACACTATTTTCAAAGTTCTTTACCAAATTTACCAAATCTAAACTGCTAGTCACAAAGATCCAAACCGAGGAGAGAAAGTCAGGGAGTTAAGCTGTGATTCTCTCCCAGAGGAGAGAGATCTGCCGTCTTTTAAGCCATCAGCACTCATTAGACGATTGCTTGCAGCTTGGGTGCCGAAGGCGGGCAGAGGAGGAAACCAGTCCACCGGAGGACCTGTCCAAGGTCCTGAACAGCAAAGGAAAGGAGCAGACTTGGGCCTTTCAGGGTGCGGGAGCCCAGGATCCGTAACAAACCCGTTCACACACGACAGAACGAACTCTTTTACGTTTGTCAGGCAAAATACGAACGAGTTCAGTTCATGTTCACGAAAAAACGAACAAATTCACGAACGATCGTTCAATAAACACGTTTGGGCACAACACTAGTCGTAGGCCCCATCAGAATACGCACGACTGGTCGAAGAGATACTTCCTGGCTGGCTCACCATTATGTAACGTTTGTAACTGGTTATTTTTAATAAATTGTCAAAGTATTATAAAGTGTCGGATCCCTGGCATACCCAAATTACCTAGTTTCATCATCAATCAAATTGTAGAGGGTCATTAATTTTGATAGTCCATATTTTGTATGGAATATTAAATTTTATTGAATACGTTTATATTCTATTGTCAATTCATTGAAAGTAACCACGTACAAAATGTTGCACTATAATCAGACAAACAGCAACAAACCTAAAATACAAGGTTTAATGCAGATTCAAGTCGTTCGAACATTTCTTAAGCTTTCCATAAGTTCATTTTAACATTTGGTATTCTCTCTACAGGGTCTGCTAACATCAATGACCGGAGCATGCTGGGTAAACGTGACAGTGAGGTGGCTGTGATTTTTGAAGACTCTGAAAATGTTACCTCAGTGATGGATGGACAGGAGTACGACGCTGGACCCTTTGCATTGCAGCTGCGTCTCGAATGCTTCAGGTACTATTTTTATGAAATAAGGACTCTAAAGAGGCATGCTGAGGTCACTTTAGCGGAGGACTGCTCACTCAGTCACACTTTTATACAGATATTACATTTATTAACCAGAAATACCAAAGCTACTAGCAAGCAAACAAAACAAATCTCAAATCAAAATCAAGCAAAATAAGAGTAACATTCACATTGCCTTGCAAAAGGATTCAAACCCCTTGAAAGTTAACATATTTGTACACCTTACAACCACAAACCTAAATGTTCTGATTGACATGTTCTGTGATAGACCAGCACAGAGCTTGCACATCCAGCAGGAAAGTAACCCTAAACATACAGCAAGAGCTACAATAGAATGGTTTGATCATGTGTTAGAATATCCACTCCTAAATCCTGCTGAGCATTTGTGGCAAGACTTGAAAATTGCTGTTTACAGACACGCTCCATCCAATCTGGGTGCACTTCAGCTATTTTGCAGCAAAGATTGCAGCCTCTAGATGTGCGAAGCTTGCTGAGACATACCCCCAAAAACTTGCAGATGTATCTGCGGTGAAAGGATCGTACAGAGTACACAGCACTTTTCAGATTTTTTTCCCTTAAAATCTTGAAAACCATGTATCTGTTTCTTTCCCCTTCACAGTGATGTGCTACTTTGTTTTGGTCTATCACAAACAATCTGAATAAAGAAAACACTTACATTTGTATTTTTAAGTTGGCAAAATGTGTAAAAGTTCAAGGGGGAAACCCTTCCCTACAGCAAACACACCTGCCGTTCTGGGATTCAGAACCCACAGAGAGAATATTTGTCAACTTTGCGCAGACACATGTGAAATTTGCACATGTTCAGATGTAAATCCTCATCGGATCTTCTGGATGTGGCTTGTCATCACCAGTAAAACCACCCATCGGAGTATCGTACGGTTGTTCTAAACTAAGTTTATGATGAACTGATGGGTGAACTGGCCCATCAGTGTGTCATGCAGCTTAAACATGTATGATGATCTGACAGTGTGTGTGTGCTTAGATAGGCATGCGCTGTGATGCGCATGCGTCTGCTCAGAAATCCCCCCCCCCCCAAGATCGAGCAGACAGCAGCAACGTTCAGCATCACCACGCTCGGAGAACTTCCTTCATTAGATTCCTCTGACAGAAGATGGAGGATGACACTCCCATATTGGTGACAGGGTCATTCATGGCCAAACTCCTAATGGATGGTGACAGGCAGCTGCATCATCAACAAGGGAAAACCTCTCTGATAACTCTGGCCTCTTAATTTCTGCAGCACTCTGCTAATGATCACTCAGAAAACAAGATATGTTTGAGTTCCTCTATTAGCCTATCAATAATGCCACAGAGCATCATTAGCACTGCAGAGGGATTATTTTTTGCAGAGCTTTTTTATCTTGTTAATTAGAAAAAATAAAGTCTTTTAACATATTTTTCTGTAAAAATTATCTTGTTAATTTGGATTAACAGAGCTTTTCATTATTTCTTTTGTGGCTGAATGCAATACGCTTCCGTGAGCATAGACACAGTAAGACTTTCCCTTGTCCTTGTGTATATCAGTATTCTACATTACTATAACTGATACATTACATTTTATGTACCAAGAAATAGGGTCTTTTCCTCATTATTTTATAAAACTTCTCCACCAGTACTCTTGCATCTTCCTAGTGAACATAAAATGTCTTTCACTCAAGTACTTTATTACAAACAATTGGAGTAGTCTATGTTTCATTAAAATATGATGTGATCTACAGGAAGTATGCCTTGGATCACAGTATATTACTTACAACTCTATTTATTAGCTTGTCATGTCACACACGCCTCACTGGCGGTCTACGGAAAGCCCCCGTGAATGGGGAACTTTGGCATATTTGCATTTCAAAACAATTCAATTCAGTTTATTCATAAAGCGCCAAATCACGACAAGAGTCGTCTCAAGGCACTTCACATAGTAAACATTCCAATACAGTTCAGTTCATTACGCCAATCAGTAAAAAGTTTCCTATATAAGGACATATCCCTGTTATGGACATATCCCTTGTCTGAAATAAAGTTTGAATGAATGAATGAACCCAGCAGAACTTATAGTGTCAGAGTCTTTACAACAATCCTCATACTAAGTGTAACCCGGGTTAAAAAGATGCATAAGTAGTAAAAGATAAGTAAAGTCTAAGAGTATAAATATCAAAGAGTAAAATTCATTTGTTCAATTTTCTTGTATATTAAAAAGATCAAAGTTCATGTCAAATGAGTAAAAACATGTTTGCATTGTTTAAAATAAGTTTTCTTTCTTTTATTGTGAATTGCTTGTGAGAACTGTAATTTCCTACGGGGATATGGTCTGTGAAGGTAACACAGCGTGGGGAAGAAGAAAAAAAAGAGGGAAGAGAAGGAGAGAGCGCGAGGAGAGATGGTGGTGGTGCGTGAGTTACACGGAGTATCCCGAAGAGTTAGCTTGTTTTTAGGTACTAGTAATAAGTGTGTTTTGACTTTTTGAAAAGATAAGTCATAGTGTCGGTAAGCTAGTGACATAACATGTAAAGTTTCAGCGTGAGTCTGCTGGACTGTGTTTTGTTTACTGCGTCCGTGCATGCATTGAGTTAAAGTGAGGCTAACACAGCCATTAGCTAACAAGGACTACTGTAGACTGCCGTTTCGCTAAAGTGGTGGAACTTAAACAAGCTGCAGAGGATCGTTACTGGACTGGATAGCGACAGACAGACCCCAGATAGTCACTCTGAGTGCCCGCGTCACTCTGAGTACCTCTGGCAACGTGGGAAGCTAAAAACAAGTAGCTTGTGGAGCACGTGGAGATCACGGACCTTCCTCATCTTTGGCTACTGCGTTCAGAGCGGAGTGCTTTTGAAGGAGCGGAAGACAACCTGTTGCCTGGAGTAATCTGGTGGGAATTGCACGTTTCACAAGGTACTGAGTTTGTTTATTTATTTTTGCTCGTTGAGTGAAGAACTTTCGGTTTGGAGATCGTTTTGGATTTATACTGGAGCAATACAGGCCTGCAACGTAGGGTTTATCTCTGCCGGCTTTAAGTTTAGTTTGGGACTATAATGGGCCATTCCCATCTGTACCGGGTCGGCCCGGGCCGGGTAGCCCCAGTCGGCCCCAGCCTGGCCCGGTTGATTCCACACATCCTTGTCTTAAGCCCATGTGGGCTGATTCTACCCACCAATCAGAGGCTTGCTCTAATGGAAGGTGTGAATGGGCTGATTCTACCCACCAATCAGAGGCTTGCTCTAATGGAAGGTGTGAATTTGCTGTCAGCAGTGGGTGTGTCGGCCCTGGTCGGCCTGAAGCAGACTCCCTCGAGAAGAGGGCTGAGAATGAGCCTTGGTTGGCCCGGAAAAATACCAGGCCACCCAGATATGTAAGCAACCTACGCTACCCGGCCCGGGCCGACCCGGTACAGATGGGAATGGCCCATAATTGTTTTATCACTGGTGGTTTATACTGTGTATGTGGGGATTCTGTGTACACTGGGTAAATTGCTGTGGGTGTTTTGCTTTGCCTGAATACTGAAACCTGCCATTTTATTATTTTATTGTTTTCATTGTTTGGTAAATTAAAGGAGGGCTACATTGCTCTACTTTACATGGTGTATGATATGATTTACTGCACTGTAGACACTAGTGTTCATTTTCGCATGTAGTGCCACTGTTAAGGAATAAGCTTCATTGATCCCAGACACAAAAGAGAAGTTAATTTAAGAATATCGTATGAGAGTACACTAGAAAAAAGAACCCAAAGCCCTTTTATTTAATGGTATTGAGTAAATGGGGGCTACATAAAATGGAGGCACCGCTGGGATGTTTTGGGTCTCATAGAAGCATTAAAGGGGCAACACGCTAAAAAAAAAAGAGTTAAAAGTTAACCTACAGTAGCTAGTTTACATTTCTTAGTATTTTTGTTTATTGAGAGTATGGCAGACCACACCGGGCTTGCTGCAGAGCTGAAGAGATGGTGTCGGGGTGAAGGTTTGGAGGAAGCTAAAGCACTCTTGGTTCTGGTTCCAGAAGAAGTGGAAATAGCCCAGATAGAAGAAACCATGGAGACCATTAAGTGTCTAGGGCGAGTCCGGGTTAGAGGGCGCTTGTTCCACACCCCCTTGAGCTGCCTAATGGTTCTCTGTGAGTGCAAACAAAGTATACCTAAAGATAATGTGCTCAAGGAAGTGCTGGACCCGCACACTGGTGAAAAATGGCCGATAGTGACTCTTAATGAATGTGCTGCTCCTGACGATTTTGCTGTGAAGTTGAAGAGTCTCTTAGACACTGAGGATAGGACTATTGAAGACCTACAAAGATTATTTATCAGCCCTGCTCCTCCGCAGCCCAGCTCTGATCCTTCCATAAACTCCACGGAGTCTGTCTTGCAAGCAGTTGGTGATTTTTTGGAGAAGGAACGCAAACCACAAGCAGAAGGTGGTTATCGGCGTTTGAGGCTGTTTTCAGGGAACTTGCCAGTTCCCCTTAGTGAGGACCCCTTTGACCATTGGCTTGAGCAGGCATGGCTCATGGTGGAGGAAAGTGACTGTACAGACAAGGAGAGAAGGCGCAGGCTGATGGAGAGTTTAAAGGGGCCGGCGTTGGAGATTGCCAAATCAGTCCGTGAGTCAGACCCTGAGGCAGGCCCTGTTGAATACCTGGAGGCTTTGGAAAGCGCATTTGGCAGTGCTGAGTCTGGAGATGATCTCTATTTTGCTTTCCGCTTAATGCAGCAACAACCAAGTGAAAAACTGTCTGATTTTCTGAGGCGTCTGGAAAGGGCCCTCACTAAAGTTGTCCAGAGAGGAGGATTTCAAGGTTCTAGCAAAGACAAAGCGCGCCTGGAACAACTTCTGAGAGGGGCTGTCGCTTCCGATCTCATGCTAATTAATCTGCGCCTGAGAGAGAGAAAGTCCAAACCCCCAACTTTCCTCCAACTCTTAAGTGAGATTCGCACAGAGGAAGAGTATGAGGCATCAAGGAGAAAGCTAAATACCTCAGTCC